GAAGTTGTTGCTGGATAACGCCCAGATCCAAACTGGGTGGCAGCCTAAGCCAAAGAACTGAGCCACAATAAGGAATCATTAGCATTATCATTACTATATCTATAACCATGATCATTATCATAATCATTATGATAGTTAATCATAGTTAATGCAAACGAAGCTCAGCTCAGAGCGCTGCAGCTGTAGGCTTGGTAATCCAACTTATACTACTCTAACTTATACACAACTTATACGCAACTTATACACACACACACACTCACCTACAGGCGTCTGGGTTGAAGTTCGCATAAATGTATGCAATGTAAAATAGAATTGAACTCTGATAGATCAGAATAAAACTCTATTGATATTTAAAATAAATTTGAGTAATTCATTATAGAACAATATGATAAAAAATGGGGAAAAAATAACAAAAAGAAACATTTAAAAATTGAGCTTCTTTCATTTCTAAAAATAATCGAAATAAAAGAGAAAGTAAGAGGGAAATATTTTTACAGCAGATTTGATTGGGAATGAACATAAAAAATATTTAAGCCCATGACTGAATGTACATGCACTCTATAACTATCCATTGTGAATCGCTGTGTATTTTTGTGAATTGTTAGGGTATCTACAGTGCGTTCAGTTGGGCGCAATTCGGTTGCCCTCACATTTCTAAGAAGCAAAAATTTACGAGCATTTGCGGTACTCGTAAAAATGATTTGCATTTTGCTCTGGGCCGCAGATGCGCATGTGTGTGTGCGAGTGTGTGTGCTTGTATATCTGCTAGATATATACCCGATATATAGATAAATAGCGAGCCGTACAAGTCGTTCTTAGTCAGCTGGAGAATATGGCATTCAGCTCAGCGCATATCATCATAATTATATTTCAATTCTAATCTATTGTGAATATCTCTCACTCTTATACACACTATATGCATATATGTATGTGTTTGTCTATTGGGCTTGTTATGCAATACAGCGGATTTGACACGTGTCACACGTGTCTAACAAATGACGCCGACGTCGACGTCGATGCCGACGCCGACGCAGATGTCGACACAGTCGATCTATATGCATATAGCCATTTGATATAGCTTGCACGATAATTGCAGTGAGCATTACTTAACTGTTATTACCCCCTTTCACTCCCCGCTCCCCGCTCCCCGTCACCCCCCTGCCTTCTGCGCGGATGAGTCGGCAGCACTTGCAACTACGTCACGTGCTGCTTGAACCGTGTTCACTCCGGCGTACACTGGACCCCGGGGCGGCTTTTGGCAGATTTGTGCAGATTCTGTGCACTCTAATTGGCAGAGAACGTTCGCAAATTGAATCCCGCCAACTGTCTTATAAATAAATTAACAATTAATAGACTCGTTCGCGCCTCGCCAACACCAAGCGCTACTTACAGTGGAAAAGTATGTGCAAATATGTATGTATGTATATAGATATATATATTTATATAGAGGAAGTAAACATGGAAAGTTTATAACTAACTAATTTGCAGACAGTATAAGACGCTCATGGGACTGCAGCAGATTCTGCTTGGATGGTGATTGTGCTTTATATTACATAGATATGTAAGTTGTAGCTCTTTATAAGCGACTATTAACAGAACTTAAAAGACGTCAGCAGAAGACAATAAAATGACTATTGGAAAGCTGCACAAGATTATTTTCTATGAGGAGTATAACAGCAGCATATGAGTGTGCGAGCTGTAAGACCAGAATCAAATAAGAACAAAGTGCAGAACACACTGAGTCATACGTCTTTATAAGAGTCGAAATATATTCCAGGGGTATGGAGCGCTGCAGCTTAGTAGAAGACTGAAATTATGGCATAATTAACTATGTAATCCAAATAGTATAAGAATAAAGTGCGTTTTCAACAGTTTGTATAAGTTGATTTACCATAAAACTGTTATTGTATTACATAGGGGTGTATGTTATCTTTATGAGACTGTTACAAGTAATTTTCAGAACTACGTTTAATCCAATAGGAATAGCACGGATATTCCGCATGACTGACTATGTTAGCTGTTGCTCACAGAAGCACTATCTGATAAGAATCTAGTGAGATTACTATGCAGATAGATATGATTTAATTGAGATTTATTTGATCGGCTTTATAAGCCAAAATAAATTTGTATAAGACAAGCACTAATTAGCATACGTTTCATCTTCGTATAAGTAGCAAGCCCCTATAATAGGCTTTAAATAACTGTTATACACATAAACTATAACAATCTGGGTTTCATTACCAGAAAATAACAAGAGAAGAAATGAAAAGAAAATAGGATCAATAATACTGTCATATTTCTAGAAATATCTATGATATAGATAATACTTACTAATTTTTATATGACATATGGAAATTGGCAAAAGTTATAAATTACAACAGTTTTGAGCAGAAAATGCAAAAGTAACGCGAAAACAAAATAGGATAAATAATAATAGCATATCTCTAGAAAATTCTATAATACTATATATAATATTCTGCCTAGCATATTTATAATTTGTAGAAGACGTATGGAAATGTGCCCAGTGTCACGTAAACGAAAGCAAATTATTAAAATGAAAAGTGTTTTTGTGGCTAAAATTAATTTTAAAGGACACGAAATGAGACGAATGCGTAGCAGCCATTTGTATAAGACGCAATTGAAGAGCTGAGAGCAAATGAGTGCGATTTGTATAACATATGCTTACAGTATAAGAGCTGCTATGCAAATTCGGCGCATGCACAAAAAGCATAGGTAAAAGAAAAGGGAAATAGAAATAATAAACAATACGTATATACACAGACACACATGTGTGTGTGCGTGCATGTAGGTAAGTAGCAGCCAGTCTGTGCGCTCGTACTTTTAACGAATATAAGAGTGACATTTCAGAGGCAATTAACGAAACCCAAATAAGTTGCCAAACGGCAAAAAGACAATTCGAAGCAGATTCATAGATGAGATATAGATAAACGGGAATAGATATCTGCTCACATACATACATAAGTATGCCTGAAGGTATGTGTGTATGTACATACATATGTATGTCTGTAAACATTTGTATAATCTCGTGACGTTTGTCGATGACGACGGCGACGGCAAAAGATGACGAAAAGCGAGGCGACTTTCGGCGGCGACGTCGTTTCATTTCGGCAAACAAATAAATAAATAATTAATAAATTTCAGACTGATACGATAAAATGGCCACTTTTTTGTCTCGCTACAATTGTTGTTGTTGTTGTTGGTGTTGTCTTTGTTGCTGCTGCTGTTGTTGTCATTGCCTGGGTATACGTATGCTGCGGCTTGTTTGGCGACTGCTACTGCGCAGCTACTGCGCGGCCACTGCGCAGCTGCCGCTTTTGTTTTCTCATTTCGTTTGCCTTTCGGACAGCATTCAACAATTGACGCAGGCTCTGACAGTGACACACAAAACGGGATGCCAGCGCATTAAACAGTAGCAAAAATGAGAGCGGGAGAGGGACAGAGAGAGAGAGAGATAGAATGCGAATGCGAATGCGAGTGTGAGTGTATGTGTGCGTCAGTGGAAGCATGAAAGAGAGGGAGGAGCGATTTATCAATCACAGCATGCAAATCGTTTTTCATTAACGGCAATTATTAGCAATTATTGCATTATAAGAGATGCTAATGGACAGCCGAGACGCAGCGACGCTGCGACCGCGACCCAGACCTAGACGAAGATCGAGAGCATTGAACAAGGAGCACACTCTCACGCACACTGTTACCGTAGTAGGCGTGGCTGAGCGGCGCGCAGTATCAATTTCTAATGAAAGTTGAAAAGCGCCGCTTGTGCGATTGGCTGAATGACTGCAGCAGCCCCGCTGTCCGTCCGTTAGTCCGTCCACTCGCAACTCGCAATCCACAGCGGCGAGCGCTAAGGGAGCCACAGTCAAGACAGGCACGAAGCGCCAGCAGCCAGAAGCCAACAGCATCGAGCAAGTTTGAAGCGAGTTCGAAGCCGCAGGCAACGATGCTGCGCAGTCAGCGCCAGCGGCAGCAGCGACGCAGCGTGCTCACCCGCGCACAGACACGCGACGCACGAATAGAGCCGAAATAAAAAGCTTGCGATTGCTATGAAGCTGCAGCTTCGCTTTATTTGCGCTCTTCCACTCATGGCGCGCTCCCTCTCTCTCGCTCTCTCAAACAGCTGCTGATGCCGTCGTCAGCGACGTCGACGTCGACGTTGACGGCGTGTAAACAGGATCTGAGCGTATATTACGTAGCGACTGGCTTTAAGCCAACATCATTCCCAAGCCGAACGCCAACAACAGCTGCCGTAGCTCCACAACACACGCTCCACGCTTCAAACACAACAAGCTCCACACACGAATAGTGCACGACGATCTGCGATAACGAGCAGCTGTTATATTTTTTTTTCGGGCCCGTTGTCAGTGTCAGTTATCTGGCCGCATCTCTGCCAAAACGCAAATATCCAAAGCAGCAGCAGCAGCAGCAACAGCAGCAGCAACGGCTCTCCTCAGCCCCAACACCCTCGCAGGGCAGCGACAAGTGCAAAAGTGAAGTGAACTCCACCATACCGATAAGCATCGCTTCGTCGGCTTCACTCTCTCGGGTCTCGCTCGTGTCGCGCTCGGCTCGCCATCGTGTCGCTCTGCGCCCGACGCTCGGCTTGCGCGCCGCTTCAAGTCCCATTGTAAATTACTTGCAAAGTAAAATTTAGTCTCGGCTTTTAATACCGTTTTAGTGCGTTTTCGAGTTGGTCGTGTTTTTTGTTACCAAAAAACCAAATACAAAATAAAATACAAATTTACAAAAATCGTAATCAACAAATAACTAGAAACATAATTTAAAGGCTTAAATCTGTGTCTGTGATATATCCAAAAAAAAATTTTAATACAAAATAATTTCAACTAGATTATCACATAAAACCAAATTTTTTTTTTTGTTCGGTTTTCTTCAGTTTTTACACAAAAACTTTTGAACAATTTGAAAACAACTAAAAAAAAAAAACTTTTCGCACGTCCTGCGTGCGATTGGCACACAATATTTTCGGTTTTATTTTTTTGTAAAAATTGAACGGAGATGTAAACTATTCGCCCCCGCCAACCGAGCAGCGCTTCCTATAAATTAAGAACAATTTTCTCCGTTTCGCACGCCGCAAAATAAAATAAATTCAAATCGAAGAGCAGCGAAGATTACGTAACACTTTGGCTGCAAGTACCATAAATAACTCTTATAAAAAGGCAAAACGATCCACTAAACAAAAAAACACCATAAATATCCCAAAAACAAATTCGAGACGGAAGTGTAACTGTTTTTTTTCTGCGCACAGCGGCGCATCCTGTTTGAGCTTATCGCGCACTTACACACCCACACACACAGAGAGAGTCAGAGGAGACACTGGCTGGCGCTCTCGCATACGTATAAGAGCTGTGAAAACGGTAAGTTGTTAAATACTGTAAATGTAATTTTACATTGGATTTCAGCCTTAGCATAAATAGCAGACAGAACTATGCAGCATACTAACAGTGGTATAAGAGTATAAGAGCGTGCTCTGTTGCGGCTGGCCATAACATGGCTCAAATTCGAGTGCAAAACTATTGGCGGTATAAGAGCCGCTGGGCAAGGCGAAAGGGGGACAGTCGGTCGCAGAGCACAAATAAACAAAAACAAACAACTATTGCATAGTGTGTTTCAGCAACAGAAACCATAAATAACGCGTCGAAATCGAACTGTGGGTGGAGGTGGAAGTGGAAGTAGAAGACGAAGTATATGATCAAACAGTTCTAATGAAAGCCAACCACCCCGCCCGCTGGGCAAGGGCCGGCGGGGAAGGGCGGGCCCTGGCGTGYGTGCATGTGTGTGTGTGTGAGTGCAGTGCAAGTCGTAAACAAAACAATAAACCATTAAGTACGAAAAAAATAATACAGATATATGTTCGTGTATGTCTCCGTATATATACATATATA